CCTCAGGGCTGCTCTCAAGCCATTCTCCAGTAATGAGTTTTCTTCTCTTTCCATCCAGCTGAACCTTTTAAAAGCTGGTCGTCAAGCGATTTGTTTCACCCTGACCATGGCATTTTTTGGAAGCACGTGGCCTTTGTGCCCTGAAAACGGTGTCGCTGTTCCCCCTCCTTGGTGCCTTCGTCTGACTGCTCCATCCATGCTCCTAGAGGGAGGATGCTGAGGACGCGCAGCTTGCGGAGAGCTCTTGTGCCTGAGGAGAAATGGGGCAGCTCCGCATGGAGCAGAGTCTCCGAGGATCCCTGGAGGGGGTCAAGAAACGTGTGGATGTGGTGCTTCGGGACATGGGTTAGTGGGTTGGGTGGTGTTGGGTTGATGGTTGGACTTGATGATCCTTGAGGTCTTTTCCAACCTTCATGAGTCTATGATGTGAAACAGGGCAGTGGGCGCAATCAGCCCCTTCCCTGAGGGCTGGTCAGCCCATGCCAAGGGCAGACCCCAGTTCAGCAACTGGGAGGGAGGTGTCTGGATGCACCCTCCTGGCTCCCGCTGCTGCTCGCCATCCCTGCCGATGGGGGAGGTTTGTATCTGCCTGAAAATAAAAACAGATCATTCCCTTGTCTCTGGAGGAAGATAAAATGTAAAGTGTCTATTTTCTGTGATAAAGCACTGGAAATAGTTGGAATTTAAGATAATTATCTTTATTGCTTTTTATAGCACCCTGTGAAGGCCAAAATCTAATTTGTTTTTCACTGACTCCTGCTGATGACTCAGAAAAATCCATTTGCTTTATTGACAAACTGCCCTGTTTGGGTACCGGGGCAGTGTTCTCCCTGCAGGAAAGGGAGATGCAGGCTCTAACACACCAGCGGGTTTTTAATATAGATTCAGAGTTTGGTATCTATTGGCGAGAGAAAAAATAAAGTTGATCTAATCGGAGTGAAGCAACTCTGCTGTATTAAAGACTGTTGTAAATTAGTGTATGCTGTAGTGGGTGTGCAATAATGGTTTGTTTAAGCACCTTCCACACACTTGAAGCGTATTAGCTGGAGCCGGGGGAGAAGCTGCGTTTCCTGGGCACCTGGAGCCCCTCGGCCGTGGAGCCTGGGGTTTGGGGAAGGAGCTGGGAGGTGCGGCCGTGCCTCTTCCCTCCTGTGCCTGGGGCCGTGGGGAGCGGCGGTCTGCTCCGTTTGGACCTGTTGCTTGCAGGTGGAGTTGCCCCTTTTTGAAACAATTTCTCCACTTGAATGTGCTTCAGGCAGAATCCTGGTTTTTAACAAACTCTCTGTGTATCTGAAGGTGTTGGGCACCCCTTGTGTGAACGAGTGGCTTGTCAGCACAGCCGGGTGGTGTGGTTTGGGGGTTTGCTGCTGCGCTGGCACTGTGGCTCTGTGAAAGGCGGTTTGTCCGTGCTGCTGTCTCAGCTGTCGGTAGAGTGCTTTCTGCCTTACCCGACCCTGTATGACACGTGCCCAAGAGCTGCTCAAAGAAACAGCACTCTCTGGACAGGCTTTCAGTGTCACCCACCTCCCAAAATGTCCTTTGAGTGCTTCGGGCAGTGATGTTTGAGAGACGGTTGGGTCTGCAGGCTGGCTTTGCAGAGGTGCTTCTAAATTGTTCGTCGCTGGCTCAGCCCCCAAAAGTCTCTGACTTAATGCTGTCACTTGGGATAATGCTACAGACCGCTGAATCTGCTGCAGCTCGAGCCCTAAACAGGCTTTATCCAACCATGGAGAAGGAAGAAGCAATCTAGGGGTTATCTATATTTTGGGAGAGGAGGGAGAGAGCTCCACGAGAGTGATCTTTGCCTCGAAGCAGAGGTCTGTATCTATCAAGGTTGCCCTCCACAGACACGCAGTACAGCAAGGGGGAGAAAACATCACTGCAACATGAAACGATAGATCTGGGCAGGTGGAGTGGGTTTCTTGTCCATCTCTGAAGACCTGCATGGTGTTTGCTCAGCTTTTTGTTGGTTTCCTTTCAGGAATTGACTACAAGACCACTACTATCTTGCTGGACGGCAGAAGGGTCAAGCTGGAGCTCTGGTGAGTGTTTCTGAGCCGCTGTGGCTGCGGGCGCAGGGCTGGTGACAGTGGGATGCTGTACCAAGCTGGGCAGAGCATCCCCAGCATGCAGCGAGGCTTGTGAGCTGGTCTTGCCAGTGAGTGAGTCCAGCAAGCCAGACCCCGTCTGTGGATGGAGTAGCACAAATAACGTGCCGTTCTTTGCCAGGATGGTCCAATTTCAGTCTTTCTCCATTGTATCTGACTGTATGCCCGTACAGCTCTCAGTCAAGGAGGGACCAGTACTATTTTGGAAGCAATATTGGATTTTCCTGAAATCCTCTGATGAGAAATATAGACAAGAGAATAGGAAAAGAAAAAAAAAAAAAAAAACCCACAAACAGGTGAAGCCTTTAGTCCCTACAGAAGCTGAATATTTCTCAGTGACTTCAGTAGAAAATCAAAACAAGAGCGATGAATAGAGCTCACAGTTGGTGTCAGAGTGTGGTAAACCCCTGGAGAGCAGGACTTGCTGGCGTGACCTGCCACTGGGATGGAGATGGGAGGACGCTGCATGGGAGGGGTGACTCCTGCCTTATCTGCTGCACCAGAAGGAGACCTGGCGTCCTTCTGGCCCAGCTTTGAGGTTTAACCTGCTGAGATGCTGGCACAGCAGTCCTGTAGATGAAAGAGGACGGATAGGTTGCCTTCCCCTCTTCTGGGTTTCACCCAGATTCAGTAGGGAATGAAATGGCACAGGCCCTCAAACATGAAATTAAATAGACCTTTTACCAACGCTTGTAAAGTAACAGGAATATCAGTAATCTGTGTGAATTGTTAAACAGGAGCGAGCGGCGTGTTCCCACCCTCAGTGACTGACTCCAGCAGCATATAGTTTCGTGGTTTAATTATACCCCTGAAGCTGAATATCCTCATTTTTTTCTTACAGAACAGAAGCAGCTAATTTATCTCCTCCAGCTTGTATGTTTATATGTGCTGATTATATTCTTTGGTCTCTCTTGCAAGTTGTCTGTTTTAACATTTCAGCCCCAAGTGTGCAGTTACTGCTTCCCTCTTGAAACCCTCTTTTTATACTGTAATTCCTGAGCTGGAGAACCAGCACAGGACCTGAAAAGCTGGTAGCGTGGGTTTATGATGCCTCAGTGTAATCTTTTACCATTACTTTACTCATGCAACCCCATATTTGACTGTCAGGGGAGAAGGAGATAGAAGCACAGACTATTAGATTGATGTCCAGGACCAATAATATGATCCTTGAAAGATTTAGATCTGAAAGAACGACTGTCCTGAACCTGAGGTCACTGCTTTTTTTGTGTCACTGGTGCAAGTCTGGGGCTGAGGGATTCATCAGGCTTCTTGATGGTCGCTAATGTGTCTGTTACGCTGGCCCAGTGGATAGATGTGACAGACATCCTGCCGTGTCTCTGATTGCCCTGACACAGTGTATGCAGGTTAGATCAGGTGCTGGGCTCTGGCTCGCTGTCCAGATGTTCCCACAGGCACTGAGAGGTGCTGGCAATGTAGTCAAACTTATTTACACCATGTCAAGAGTTCAGTCAGGACAAACAATAGTGACTGAATAACCTTTTATTGTTGCAGGGGGCTGGAATCATTGTTCCTGAGCTCTCCGTAGGGTCTGATTGACCAGGTCTGTCAGAGATCTGGGTATAAAGACACTTTCTTTCATTTTTGGTTAAAACATGTTTGGAAAAATAAGTGAAACTAGACAGTGCAAGACAACTTCTCCTCTCTTGCGCAGTTACGTTCATTTTACAATAAGTCAGCTGTTCTCCAGCTGGTCTGCAGCCTCGCTCTGCCTTTGAACTCCCGTGGACTGTAGGGAACTAGAGGGAAAATCCTTTGCCCAAGGTAGTAAAATTATTTACATCCCTGTTCACCATAAGGTAGTGCTGAAGCTGAGTGGTTTTGTTTGTACCTTCTCTGTGGGGAGCACAGTGACAGCAAGGACCTCTGGAGTGTCTGACTAACCAAAGGTGGTGATGCACACACGGATTCTTCCAAAAAACATCCTCCAGAGCAGTCTGGGTACCATGTACGTTCTCAAGATCTGACGAAATCTGTGCTAATTTATTTTTTTTAAAGTCCAATAGGAGATGTGCAGTATGGGATTCCATTCCCCAAATTTCAGAGGTGTAACATTACTTCTCTTTGTTGCAGGGACACATCAGGGCAAGGAAGATTTTGCACCATTTTCAGATCCTACTCTAGAGGAGCCCAGGTAAGTGCTGCTCTCAGTGCTTCGATGGGGCACACTTGCTTTTCCTTTAGGCTGTAAAAATCTTTTATACCATAGTAAAGAGCTCTGAAGAGGAGCACAACAAGCCTCAAAAGGATGGGATCTGTGTAGATGCCGAGAGGCACTGCATGTGGTCGTGCTGCCTGGCATTCTGGTTTGATGAAATGTCCTAGACTGCTACAGAAAAGGTCTGTTACACACTATATTCAGTTTCAGTTTCTACAAAAGGGCTGAGAAGATGGGGATATGGAGGACGAGGCAATTCTAGCTCTAGATCTGCCTTAGCTTTCATGTGGGAGCTTGTACTTTCTGAGGTTTGTCAAATTTGTTTAAATATGACATTGGCTTTCCCAGTGGAGTTCTTCCAGTCTGTGTTGCCTTCAAGTCAGTTCCAAAAATAGGGTGGCTTCTACTTGTGGGTTTGATGTAGACTTGAAACTAGAGCAGCTCAATTGGATCGTAAAGTATGTCCCTTAAAACATGAGACAGAGCGTTACATTTTGGGTGTCTCCTTTGGGCCCTGCTCCAGAATAGCATCTAGATTCTGAACAGCAGAAAAATCCTGTGGTCCTCTGAAAAATTGCTGTTAATAGTGCTTTCTTACAGCTTTATTCTTGTCCTTTTAGTAACGTGACAGGGTCCCTCCAGGATATTGTCTCCCTAAGTTAAATGAACCACTGTAATTTCCCTTTTGTTTCCAAATTGGAAAGCTTTGGAGAAAATTCCTCCTCTCTCAGACACTAAGAGTCAGAAGCTATATATCAGCCTCCTGACCGTGCCAGTGTCCTGGCAGCTTCCCAGCCTTTGGGAAATTTTGCCACTTTTACTCAAGCTCTTGCCACTATTGCTCTTGGCTTTTTTGCTTCTTGTAGCTGGAGACTTTTGCTTTGCTAACTGGCATAATCCATCGTGCTCTCTTTCTCTACAACTCCCTGCAAATGCACTTGTGCCGTAGACACGAGAGCACTTTGCCTGGGATGTGCTGTTGGTATCTCCTCCGGTGTCTTGTTTATTCTTGTTTGTGCACATCTCTGGTGGTGTGGATGCTTTGAGGCAGCTCCTTTGAAGCAAAGGCCAATTTCCTGGTGTTTGCAGAAGTACCTGGCAAGGAGTGTTGGAGCGTGCCTCAAGCAGTGGGAGAGTACAGAATCTCTTGTTCACAGGCTTGGTCCAACCTGTGAGTTTATCTTTAAGCTTCCCTCTGCCCGTACTACATTTCAGAAAAATCTAGACCTCCAATCCTAATATAACTTGTGGGCTTGAGACCATATAATTTGCCTTTCCAGTTATAAATTAACAGAATCGGTCAGTGTGGTTTTTTGATGACCACAAAACTTAGCTTTGGCCAGTTTCTCTGAGACCTTGCTGTGTCAGATTCCCAAATCAAACTAGGAATAGAAAGCGGCAGGCTTCCCAGCTAATGTGCCTAGAAATATCATCTGCGATCTTTCACTCCTGTCTGCAGCATCACCTGTTTTTCCAAACTGCTGTACAGAAGGCTTTCTCCCCTTTGCGCAGACTGTGAGCTCCTCGGAGCCGCTGCTGTGTCTCCACGGGCTGCACCCAGCAGAGCCCACAGCCACATGCCAGAACTCGTGGCTGCTGCCACCACACAGTAAACTGGGGCAGAGAGGGAAGGTGAAATAAGTACCGATGAGAATGTTTAAACTGGATGGAGAGACAGGTACACACTTGTCTAGAAACTGCAGGGAGCTGTAAGACACACCGTGCATCCATTGGGTTCCCGCAGCCTCTTCTCCCTGGACACTGTTTGACACTGGATGCCATAAAGTGTCATGTACCTGTCTGACTTTAAGTTGGAAACTGAAGATTGCTTTCATCTTCCTTTCTTAAAATTAAGCTCTTGACTTTCTTTGCTTTGGAGGCAATGTCTTGCCCTCCTGCTGTATTTATCAGTATTGCTTTAGGAACTCTCAGCTGAACATCTGCAAGGCTTGCCTCATCCATCTGATCGGCTTACCCCTCCCAAGGAGGCTGTCTGAGAGACGTTTGCAACAAACCTCATCAGCCAGGCAGAGGGACCTTTAATGTGAATTCTTGATTGCTGAATGCTGGGCTATGGAGCTTACTTACGCAGCGAGGTGTAGCTTTCGCCTTTACCTCCCAGCCTGCATTCTGCTCCTGCAACAAATCCCTTTTCCAGAGAACTGTTGTGATGCGTCAATCCTGACCTGCCAAAACAGCCAACCTTTACCCTTAAAAACAACAAAACAGCCCTGAACAGCGAGCCTGCCCGGTGGGAGCAGGGGTAGTTCCCAAGTGGAGTATCTCCACTGGTAGCTAGAGTCCTCGTACAGTCTTCTCCAGGTGGCTCGGAGTCAAAGTCGATTGGTTTCAGCATCAGGCGAGTGGCTCCCCTGCAGCCATGCACCAATATTCCTGGATTAGCAGGAAAACCGGTATTGGCTCTCTTAAATAACTCACCACATCTTTCAGTGGAAGAGGAAAGTATCGTCATTTAAACTCTTAATGGTTAACCAGAGCGAGAGGACTGTTTGTTTCGAATAACAAATGCCTGTGTGACTGCAAGAATGGACTCAACACCTCCAGTTATTTTCAGTATGCAGAAGCTAATTTCTGGCATAGCTTAGCATAAAGACAGTTTAACCCAGTGTGGTCTTGGGGGAAAAAGAGAGAAAATGCTTCTGAGTTCTCTTCCTTCAGATGTGTTTAATGCTGTGTGCTGTACTGACTTGTTGCAGCTGTCTGCTTTTTTTTTTGTATCATCAGACTTCAAGACTTCTGCTGTAGGCAGCCAGTTGGAGGCAAGAGAAACAGCTTTTTTAACCTAACGAGCCAAAGGCTCAGGAAGAGTAAATACAGCAGAGAGGAGAGATGCCAGGGTGGGGAAAGCTCTGTTTAAAACGCAGCGTGATATTTGTACAAGAACGGCTTGGTATGAACTGTCCGTAAGCACCTTCACACTGAAAAAGAGCAGAAGGTTCTCGGTGAGTAGAGGGGTGAGGCTCTGAACTGAGCTTCCCGTAAAGAGCACAAGGATGAGTTTCCAAGGAGGACTTGGACGGGTTAGCTGTGAGAGCAGGAGGCTGGCCTCAGCAGCCTGGCAGCCCTTACAGGGGTGACTGAGGACAGGGCGAGTCTGCCTGAATGGCCAGTGTGTAAGAGAAAAGCTGGTATGAAAAGAGCCTTCAGGTCAGGGAGCACACCTGGAGTTCCCCCCCACACCCCTCACTGTTTCTCAAGTGCAGTGGTAAGAACTGAATCTTCTGAAGTCAACGCTGGAGAGATGGCAAAAGGGAAAACCAGTCTCCAAACAGGGAGCAGACCTCCTCGGGAGTTGTCCTTTCCCCCACAGCACAGCCTCAGGCTTTGCTCAGCCGGGGCTGCAGGCTGGTCCCTGCCCAGCGAAAGGACTCCTCCTGAGCACCTCCATCCCTTCCCCAGTTTAGAGTCCGCACCACTTCTCTGGTTACATAGCCGGGTGGCTTTCATCTTCAGCAATCTTGGAAACATCTGAAGCAAAGTAGCTTTGCTGTCCTGGCTGAGTTGGCTTGGTGAGGACCAGTGCCTCCGTTCAGCCAGGGCAGACCAGCCACGTCTGCCTCGGGATTTGCTGTGAGGATCACAGATCTGTCCTGCTTTCCCTCCCTGCCCTGCCAATCTGATCTCGTTAGGGATGAGATGAGCTCTCTGGCTCGAGGTGGAGGCTTGTGGCATGCTGGTGTGCCTGGGACCCCCCTCCTTTTCTCTCCTTGCTTCCCAGGTGTTTGCGTTTCCCATCTCCTATCACAGCTGCTTCATCATCCCTTCCCTCTCGGGGTCTGTTGGGCCAGCGGGTCCTGACCACATCCCTTCAGGGTCTCACTTTGGGGCAAAAGAGGAGCAATTGGGTCTGGGATAGCAGAGCACTGGCCTCCAGGCCCTGGTGGGGCAGGGAGAGCATGCAGGCCGTGTCATGGTGAGATGACGAGGGCTAGAGATGGAAACCCAGACGCGGGGAGTCTGGAGCTTGCTGTGCTGCCGAAGGATTTTTGTATTAATTGTCGCAGCGCATAGTGAAGGGCATTTTTAGCGATGGTTAAAGGTGTTTCAGAAATCTTTCATTTTGCTCTTGGGCTTCTGCTCTTTGGCTTTTTCTGCTTGGCTTTAAGGTCTCAATCATGCCGGCAGCAGGGCTGGACGCTGATCTCAACGGCGAGCGGCAGCTGTGGCTCCTCTGGATGCTCTGAGCACACTTCCAGGAGTGATCGCAGAGGGGAGAAAGAGGCTTGTGGTGCTGCTTTCTGATCTTGCGAGGAAGAAACAGTGCTTGTGTCATTCCTAATGTCCTCACGTGCCAGTGATTTAAACTGTTTCTGGAAACATGTCTCGCCAGCCTTTCCCAGGCAGCGTGGCACAGCAGGTCCTTCAGGAACAGTTTCAGACCATCGCCAGGAAGCCGTGATCAGCGTTGAAAAACGCTCCCATCTTACAGCAAAGCTGCAGCCCTAACAGAACAGTGAATATTGTTGAGTTCTGCTTAGGCAGGTCGTTTGAGTAGCTGCTGTTTATTCAGGGCTTTTTAACATGCAGGAAGGTGGTGGGGTTTTTGGCAGCTCAGCAGCCCCTGCGGCGTGGGCTCTGCTCTACCTTCGACTTTCTTACTTGCTGCAAATACTCTACCTGCCTCAGGTCATTTCGATGGGGTTGTCCAGCTGCTGGAGGAGTCCACCCTGCCTGCCAGTGTGTTTATCAAAAGCTCAGAGATAAATAATCCCCCCCCAACAATGCATTATGGTGTTGGGAAATGGTTTGGCAGCAGGACGTAGCTGCCTGTGAGCCAAGGTCCGAGGTGCCAGCTGGAAAACGTGACCAAACGTAGCTCTGAAAGCGCAGGCAGGAGGGACACAGTGTTCTGGTTGCCGTCAGCACTGAATCTTTTGTTTATGGTTTACTTTGTCCTGTGAGCCAGAGAAATCCAGTCGGGGGGGTCTTCCAGGCTTCCAGCTTCCTCAGCAGCAGCTTTTTCCATCGGTGGAGAATACCGGGAGTGACGCTCTCCTGGCCGCCCCTCTGCCTGCGCCGGGCTGAGCCTTTGGCAGTGGTGTGAGCACTTGCTCCCCACAGCCGTGTGCCTGGGTGCTTATGGAGATCCAGCTCCTAAAGCATCCGAGGAGCCTTTCTGGAGGAGTCTGCTTTCCCCTGCTGGGTGAGCGTGCTGCTTCTCTGTCCCCTGTAAAAGCTCATTGCTTCTAAGCCTGGGCTGGGCACCTGCAGCAAGCACACAGGGGCTGATACTTCCCACCGCCCCTCGGTTGAGTGGACAGATCTTTGTCTA